TAACATTCAAAATCAATGATGATGTAGAAAAGAATTCGAGCGTATATGCAACTTAGCGAAGACGTTGATGACGCTGAAGAGAAACCGCGAGTGGAGGGGCTAAGGTAAGGTAGAAGTTTCTACGAGGAATCCACTCGGGTTTCATTTCAATTATTTTGGTTTTATAGCTGCATCCCACCTAATTATATGGATATTGAGAAGGTAACTACAATACTTTTTGTCCATCGGTTGATTGAGGTGTATACAGAAAATCTAAACTCCCCTTATTTGGTTTGTTGTTTCAGTTTGTAGCAACTCACCATTGTTCTGAAGGTACATTACAACTTATATCTGATGGAACAATTTTGGGATTTGTGTCATTAGACTTGGGATGCTTGAATCTAGCCAATTGCTTTTTAAATGATCATGTAGCTTAATATCAAACTTGAATAGGTCAAGCTTTAAATGAGGGTATTCTTCCTTTTCTTTTTATCTCACTCTACTATATACAAATTGAAGAGTACTCGCTTTAGCTTCTTGATGGTCAGTAAGCTCCAGTTTATGTCTACTGCACGTTCTCCCTTTCAAATGTACATGCTACAGTCGCTTTTGCTTCCATGTATGAGTTTGCGATTGTTTTCGACTCAAACTGTTGAATTTCTTAACATCATTGACCCCGTGGGACAAACCGCAGCTGGACCAAGCTATGTTTTACCTGTAACACAAGATGGCTCAGTTTTCTCTTTTACCTTCGGTCCTAACTTCTGTCTTGGTCATGGAGAGCAACAAGTCAAGCACCACCTGTATGTTATTCAGCCTTTAAATAAAAAAGGTATTCATATTCTACATGTCTCCGTTGGCGATGAACACGATGTTGCACTTGATTCCGATGGTCTTGTAAGTTCTTTGTATCTATTGTTCTCTTTCTCTATTGGTCAGAAATCAGAGCAATTTTATTTAATTGTTTTTTCTACGCTTAGGTATACACATGGGGTAAATGTTATTACGGTGCTCTGGGCCATGGAGACTAAAACGACAAGACCACTCCTCGACTTTTGGTGAATCTCAAAAATTGCCTCGCTCTGCAGGTCATATTCTTCCCCATTTGTTCCATCTCAATGTCTGAGAAAATCACTACTTCGCATATTGATCATTTGTTCATGTATTCTCAAAGTTTTTGAGCGGTCTCCAAGAACTAATATGTGATCATAACTAGGAGTCCCCAACCTGATTTTCAATTTGGTTTTAGGGGTTTTCGACAAAGTCCTTAGGTCTACAGTATTGGAATGTCTGAAACCACACCGTGTCTCTCAAGGTGGCCGCATTTTTGGGTTTAGAGGTAAGGAAAGAGCTCAGCTTGGTCACGACTCAGTTCGTCGCTGCTTATAACCTACTGAAATCTTTCTCCATGTGTATTTTGTATGGTTAAAAAATAATACATGAATTCTTGGCGGTAACAAACAAAATTAACCAAAAAGCTAGCTTAACCATTTTTGTCTTAAGTGATTTTGCAATCTCATCACCACCATTTAGCAAGTTCTTCCTCTAGGTGGTGCTTCTCAACTGTTTTTCGTTTTCATCAAAGTCCATAGCAGACAACATCACTGAAGCGAACAAGGAGCAGAGTATCAGTTAAATTATGCCTTTTACACTCACAAACTTCAACCAAAATCATTCAAACGAGCGTAACAACAACATATCAATTCCAAATGGTTTCGCAATTTATTCTCGATGATAAATTACACAACAACAAACAACCAAAGAACATAAGGAGTCAACTCTAATAGCGGTATACAAGTTTAAAAGAGTGAGACGTTAATTGTGGAAATGTACACAACTTGAAATTGAGCTCCGATTGAAGAAAAG